ACAAGGAGCGGCTCCTGGCAGGCTTCTAGGATGGCAAAGGGGGGCATGTCTCTTGTCCCACATTGCTTAGGGGGGGAGTCCTGGGCTAGTTTATAAAGCTTGGGTTCTCTACTCTGTGTAACGCGTTTTAAAGCCGTGAGGGTCAATTGGCCCAAAGCGGATAATATTACATAGTGTAGACCCTTCCGGCTGTCCCTGCCCCTGTCCAGCCGAGTTGCCCTGTTTCTCTTAGGTAAGTGACCTCCCCAAATATCGCCTAGGACCTCGGGTATTGCTAGGCTCGTTTAGGGCTCGGTTTAGGGTGAATTAAGTGGCTGTTTTGGGTTTCAGATATGGGCTAGAAATTGGTTATTATGGAATGATTTGGAGACTGAAAATATGAGGTTTGGGAGGTTCGGATAGAGCCGTGATGATACGGAACGATTACGGGTTGAATTCGTGTGATTTGGTGTGATTTTCGGATTTGTGACTACTGTACCCGTCCGGTTTACTATTTTTGTGGAGAATTTTGGGGGCCGAATTTGAGGAAGTTTTCTTCATGAAAGTTGCTCCCAACATCTTGAAGTATAACATACTTTAATTTGGGAATTTTTGGAAATCATTTGAGGCCATTCAGAAGTCCATCTTTGGACCGAAACAAAACTGCCCGATTTACTGTTCACCCGACCTTCTGATCTGTTCGAATTTTTATAAATTTTTCCAGGCCTATTTTCAAAATACTTCCTTCACAAAAATTGTTGGGGACATTTTTCGATATAACATATAAAAATTTCAAGACTTTCCAAAATGATTTGGATACTGAATGAGTTGTATTTTGATGGCCTGAGGGGCTGTCCGAGCGAATCGGATTTTGTCCGACTTTGAGTGTCAAAACGAGGTGGTTACGGTTAGAACTGGGTTTCTAGTTCTTCACGGAAAATGTTCATCGAGATGTTTTTTACAACATATCCAAATTTCATAATTTTTGGAATTAATTTACCATTTATTTCAAATGAATTTCTGTCACTGTGCAACTGCCCAGTTTGGACCCGATTTTGTATATTCTAGGTTTTTCTCTCTCTCGGACTGATTAGTGGCTGTCTATTGAGGTTTAATTGGGCCTTGTACGGCTAATGTGTGGTTTGTTCATGAATTGCCATGTGTGAATGGTTAGGCCATGTAGTAACTGATTTGGGTGCATTGAAGTAATGTTCGGATATGGGTGATCGTGTGGTGTTTGTGTGACGAGAACGTGTGTTTGTGAAGTGTACGTGAGATGTGAATTGGTGCGTGGCTATGTATTTGTGTGAGGTGTGTATATTTGGCCGTGCGATTGTTGGCTGTGTGTAAGTGTGGTTTGAGTGGAACGAGGATATGAAAATGTAGGATTGGTTGGAAAGGATCCGTCCTGAGGCGTGTTCATTTACGCGGGACGATGCCGTCCCTGACGAGGTGACGATGCCCGGCCCGACGGGGTGTCGATGCCTGACGAGGTCAGAAGACCGTTGGCCTGATGCGTTTTACGCGGGCACGGTAATTAAGGAAAGGGAGAGGTAGGATTCCGTCCTGAGGCATGTTCGTTTACGCGGGACGATGCCGTCCCTGACGAGGTGACGATGCCTGGCCCGACGGGGTGTCGATGCCTGATGAGGTCAGAAGACCGTTGGCCTGATGCGTTTTATGCGGGCTCGGTAGTGGTGGAAAAGTTGAGGATGAGCGGGAATTTGGCTTGAGGTGCGAGGTTTGCGAAAGGGATGCGTGGTGTGAGTCAGTGTGCAAGTGTGTTTGTATCGCGTGATGTGATGCTTAATTATGGGGTAAAAACTACTAGGCACGGTATGGGACGTGCCCAAGTGAGTTTTATCTTATAATTGAGGCACGTGCGCGTCTGTGAATCATTGCTGCGATATGTTGGCTGTGTTATTGTCTAACGTGCAGGGACGTGTATGATGGATTCCAGGTAGGGTCGTGTGTGGTTGTTAGTTTGATTGATTATCGTGTGTTATGCGTGTTTTCTGTCTGGCGGTACATGAGTGTCTACGTGGGGTTTGGGTTGTACACTTATTGAGATTCGTCTCATGGTTGTATAACCACCACTTTCAGACCCCCAGTCGTAAACCCAGGGAGCCCGCTTCCTCTTTTTGAAGTACGAAGAGCAGCCATGGTGCCGGAGGATTCGCAGGCGATGCCCAAGAGATTTCCAGAGGATAGAGCCAGATGAATTAGGAACAGAATGGAGAAGGGCGATCCTTAGGTTTTTCCCTAGGGTATTTTAGGGGTTGTGTAGTTTTGGGTAGACCTATAGTGAAGTTAGGTTAACCAGACCCCTGATATTTTTATTAAGTCGGTGGCTGAGGATGTTCGTCTGTATTTATATTTGTAATAAAATGTTTGTATGATTAGGTTGTTGTTTGAATGTTCTGATGTTCTACCCCGTTGTCGTCATTTTTTTGTCCAAGGTTTTTATTATCCATTTCCGCATGTGCCTTTGATGTGGGTTGGGTCGGCGACGTTCCTGGGACGTCGCAACAAATTTGACCTGTAGCGGGATGTCGCGAGCTCGATTGGGTTCGGGGCATGACATCCCCGTTTGAATTGGTATTAGAGCAAGGTTAGCTCGATATCGGTAAGGTCGAGACCTGGAGTGATAAGAAGCGACGACTTCGGGGTAGTCGGTTAGGGAGCCTTTTGTAGATTGCATGTTTATGCTAGTTATGCATGTTCTGTGAGTACGGGCCTGTGATTGCTGAGTGATTTATTGTGGTTATAATGATGGTTGAGCCGAAGGTGCGGCAGGACTTGAGGTGAGTGCGAGAACCCTGTTGAGTGCATAGTAGTGTTGACTTGATGTTAGGTGATTGATTTGATGGTGGGTTGTTGGTTGTTGAATGCTGGTTGTCGAGTTTTGTGCCTAGGGCTTGGACTAGTGTAGTTGGCCTAGGTCTCGTATGGACTTACAGCAGGTAGGAGAGTAGTAGAAAGCTGATATAATGAGCAGCGAAGAAAGAGGAGTAGGAAGAGTCCCAAGAAGGGGTGCTGGAAGAGGAATAAGAGGTAGAGGTCGTGCTAGAGCTAGAGCCGTAGAGGACATTGATATGGGTGCTAGAGTGGTAGAAAACCCTGGAGTGGGTGTTGGAGTTGCAATGGATCCCAGAGCTAATGTTGAGACTGTTACAGCAGGACGGAAGGGTGACGCGGTAAAGCCCATTGTCAAGTACTCCGCGGAGGATTTCCTGACCATTTTTAATAGACGTGGCAATAAAAGAGTTAGAATCGAATTGGAAAACACAATGGTTATCAAGTGCAAATCGAGACACGGAAAGTGAGTTTTTAGTGATTCCAGGTACGACTAAAATTTGACAAAGTATAAATGACGGAGAAGAGGACACGAGTGTACCTGTGTGGGTGATCGGTAAGGAGACGCCGTCACCCACAACAAGCTGAGTTTGACCTGAATATGGATTAACGCTTGTAAGTCCTGCAGAATTGTCCATAACGTGATGTGTAGCACCTGAATCAACAAACCACGCTGAAGATGTGAGAGCAGAGGGCGGACTTGATGGCGGTAAATACTATGGCAGTGAGTCCGGACCCGTCAAGTGGGCTTGTACGGGCTGAACTGATCCAACAAAATGATAACATGTATTGGCCCTATTGCCTTGCTTGCCACAAAGCTGACAAAATGAGCCTCCTCCGTTGCGGCATCTCCCGCGATTTCCAGTTCCATAATGCGAGCCACGGCCATGGGATATTCTAGAAAAATTCCCAGATTGATTAAAATCTGCATGGTAGTTGTTGGAACTGTGACGGGTCTGCCGAGAAGAAGGCAGTCCTTGGCTGGTCTAAAAAGCCGCCGGTGGGGGCTGATTATTTGTTACCGACGCTAGCTCTAGCCTTCCCTCGTGATTAAGAATTAAGGCATGAAGTTGGTCCTTTGTCAAAGACCCGGTTTGAGTTAAAATGGAAATTGCGGTGTCGAGACCCTGAAATTCAGCACCCAAACAACGAAACAATTGAGTATGATATTCATTAATAGATAAAAGGCTCACCAATAGCAGCTAACTGGTCCGTGAGACTGGTGGCTTCTTGTAGGAATTCTGTGACGGATCGGTGGCCTTTTGAGAGTGATTGAAGCTGGAGCCGTAAAGCAGACGCGCGCGCAGTTGATTGAGCGGCATACGAGTCCACAAGATACTTCCAAACACTTGCTGCGGATGTGTGACTCGTCAATTGGGCAACTATCGGAGCGGTCGACGAATTAAGGATCCAAACCAAGGCAATGGACTCTCGAAATTTCCAATTTTCAAACGCTAGATTGGTCATCTGCGTAACAGCCCCTCCTGCTGCAATCTCCTTGACAGTCTCCTCCGGCTGAGGTTCGGTGCCGTCCAAAATGGACAGCAAGCGGGCAGCGCAAAAATATGGTGAGATCTGTGTTTTCCAGATCGGAAAGTTCGTCCCGGTTAGCTTCTCCCCAATACTTGGTGGTGACATTAGAGTGGGGTTATTCGAGGCTATTGATGACAACGTCGGTGCAGAAGATGATGTTTCTTTAGACATGGATCGGTGAGGCTTTCGCCAAAGATGCTCTGATACCAACTTGAAAAGAAGAATTACGTTTTAGAGAAGAAAATTTTATTGCTCTTTTTTCTGTACATCATTGTGTTGCAAATACAATGTATATAAAGGACTCTAAGAGATAAGATACTTAAGATAATATCATAACAAATATTCCCTAAATATTTTCTTCCCTTAACAGATAAGATACAAAAGGTAACATAATAACAAATATTCCCTAAATATTTTCTTCCCTTAACAGATAAGATACAAAAGGTAACAAATATTTGCTGAGTATTTTCTTCCTTTAACAGTATTCAACCTATCAAGATTCCATATATAGTTCCTCACACACCCACAGACACCATTTATATGTCTCAGCACTCACTCCTCTTAGCTAAGCCATTCCATAATCTCTCTCTCTCTCCATCCCTCAACTCCTTTTGCTCTCTGTTGGTTCTGCTATGGCTTCGATAAACTTCTTAGCCAGTCCAAACTGTGTTTCGCACTCCATCAAAGCATCTTCCAAAAGCTTTGATCATTTGACAGATGTGTTTCCTCTTGGAAACAGGAACTTGCCCGGGAGGACCTCGCGAGGCGACCCTCGAGAGCTCAGCATCACAAACGTCGCTAGCCAGGCCCCGGTCGTCTCTCGATCGTCGCCGGGGAAAGAAGCCGTCAGCGACCGGGATCACGTTGCCTGGACGAGCGTCCGGCAACACCAGTGGGAGGGCGAGTTGGCCGTCGAAGGGGAGCTACCTCTCTGGCTGGTGAGTCTGTTTGATTTTTTACGATCTCTCAATCATCTTTTCGCGTCCCCTAAGCTAAATCTCTTCTCCATTCTGCTTGTTCTCATCTTGCCATATGCCCCAAAAGGAAAAAAAAAAGAAAAGAAATTATTTTGTTTGTTTAAAGTCTAGCCAAAGATGAAGCCTATAACAATAAATTAAATAGTGGAACGCCCTCCATCACAATTAATTGTTAACCTCACTTAATTAAGTCAGTCACATAACACTATAAATTATCCCATTATACTGTGTTTGTGCGTGTAGCACAAGGCCATTTTGTGTCTCCACCACTGACTATAAATGCATATGCTGGTCTTTCTATTCATGTTGCACTATCCAAATTACTTTCATTTTACAACTTTATTAGTAAACTACGCTATTCAAGTAATTTTACATCACTAGAAGGGAGAGGCTTATCGAAGCGCAAAGGATTTGTGCATTCAGATGCTAAAGATTAAATAATATTGTCGACGGTGTGGGAGTATAAAAGCCATAGACTTACCTAGCAAAAAACAAAACAACAACAACAACAACGAAAAAGTCACAATTTACAAATTTTCGGGGTTTATCTCGACTATCCCAAGATACCTTCCAAATATATTTATCAAAGAGTGAGATATTTTTAAGTTAAGATCAAACGAAGAATATCCCTTGCCCCAATTTTATCATTCCTTGTTTCTTGTCCTCGTCTATATTATATTCCTTGTAGTGTACCAACGTATGAAGATTTCGTATGATCTTACCCATCTTTGAAAATTCTTCTTCTCTCAGCTGTTCCACCCTATAAAATTATTAGGATGGTACGAATGTTACAGATTTCTGATGTACTGAAATGAGTATAATATCACTGGCATTATAGTATCGTGCAAACGTATCGTACCCGACAAATACATTGGAAGTAGCTCCGGTGTTTTCTGTTGGTTAGGGAGAGTGATTGGTTGATTTGATCATATGCAGAGCGGAATCTATCTGAGGAATGGTCCCGGTCTATGGCACGTCGGAGACTACGACTTCCGACACCTCTTCGACGGTTACGCCACGTTGGTGAAGCTGCAGTTCGAGAACGGGCGGTTGATCGCCGGCCACCGGCAGATTGAATCGGAAGCATACAAGGCCGCGATGAAGAACAACAAGCTATGTTACCGAGAATTCTCCGAGGTCCCTAAGGCAGACAATTTCCTATCCTATGTTGGCGGGCTTGCTAGCTTGTTCTCCGGGGCATCGCTGACTGATAACGCCAACACAGGCGTCATCAGGCTCGGAGACGGACGAGTGGTTTGCCTCACCGAGACGCAGAAGGGGTCGATAATGATCGACCCAACCACGCTCGAGACCTTAGGGAAGTTCAAGTACACCGACTCCTTAGGGGGTCTGATACACTCTGCCCATCCGATCGTGACCGACACCGAATTCCTGACGCTGCTGCCCGACCTGATCAACCCGGGCTACTTGGTGGTGAGGATGGAGCCGGGATCGAACGAGAGGAAGGTGATCGGGAGGGTGGACTGCAGGGGCGGCCCGGCACCTGGCTGGGTCCACTCGTTCCCCATGACGGAGCACTACGTCGTCGTGCCGGAGATGCCCTTGAGGTACTGCGCGCAAAACCTCCTCAGGGCCGAGCCCACTCCATTGTACAAGTTCGAGTGGCACCCCGAGTCCAAAGGGTACATGCATATCATGTGTAAAGCCAGTGGAAAAATCGTAAGAATCCATCTCCCTCCAGATTCATTCTGTGCAGCAAAATTTCAGAGTGTTCTCAAGGCACTAACCAAGAATCTTTATAATGCTTTTGAAGAATATGAATATCTTTACTTGAAATATGTAACTTTCTAGAAATATGTTCTTTTCTTCACTAAAATTTTAGCCGTCATAATTGGTGTCCCCTGGACACCGGCTAACATGCCTTCTTTGTATATAATTTCCAACATAGTTTATCAAAACTATGAATATGACAAGGATGTCTTGTTTTTTCTATTGGGTTGCACGGAAAAAGGTGGCAAGTGTGGAGGTTCCTCTGTACGTGACGTTTCACTTCATCAATGCGTACGAAGAGACGGACGAAGACGGGCGAGTTGTGGCCGTGATCGCCGATTGTTGCGAGCACAATGCGGACACGACCATCCTCGATAAGCTCAGGCTCCAAAACCTCCGCTCCTTTGCCGGCCAAGACGTACTTCCTGATGCTAGGTGTGTTTTTTGTATGCTGCTTTAGAATCCGCGCACGCACAAATTCGTACGTATTCACATGTACTTACCATCATTCGATTTGTTGAGATAATGATAATCGCATAAAGATCGAGAATACTAGATAAATAGAAGGTGGGAAATGGAAATTAGTGGTCGATTAGATATGTGATTACTCAGGATATTTCTAGCTAACTGTTCCATCTTCATAACGCTTGTCCATGTACATATAATATGTTTCAAGGCATAAGAACATAGTATAGCAGTTCTTTAGAAGAAGGGACCCTATTTTCTTTAGTATTTATTCGTATTGTGAATTCGCCAATGCAATGAAGGAACTTGTTATAAAAAGAAAAATCCATGTATAGCAATTTTTAATTAACTCCGCATGTAAATAATCGTACGTGTCAGTAACTTTATCTCCTATTAAATTATTTTTCACGTTGTTTTAGGGTTTACATACTTGGCTAGCATCTTATACGAAGTCCAACGAAACCCAACATGAGTTCGACTTTTGTCTTCTTATTCCATTAATTAATTACCTTTAATTTGAGGTCATTTAATACATAATTGAGTCTTTGTTAGCATAATTTAACTTCTATCGTTTCCAAAATAATATAAATTTTTTTGGTCCCTTTCTGAGACTTGGGTTTTCTTCCTGGTAGTCATATTCGTCCCCTCTTGAAACTTTGGAGGGCATACCTTCATACGAAGACCGGCGTTGTCTTCAAACTTTCTAATTCGTACATAGTTGGAAATAAGTGAAAATAATTATTAATGTGTTTGTAGTTACATTAGGAGTGAATGGCAGATAAACATTAGCGACTTGTACCCTCTTTTGAATGGTATAATGGCAGACAAATCCTTAATCAATACGAAAAGTAGTAGAATGGCATCATGATGAGCGTCCTCTTGCTGATTAAAATCTTTTGTTCCCCTTTTCTCGTTTCGATATGATGAGTCCCAATAATGGCCCATTTGTTCTTTTGTGTTTGGTATCGGCTTCAGTTTCTTTTCTTTTTTTGGCTTTTCCGTAGCATATTAAATTTGACTTGAATTTAACTTGAAATTTTGTCTGAAACAAACAAATATTACAATTCATAATTATAGAAATTGAAACTTGATATTCATTAACTTTGCCTTCGAAATTTGGAGGCAAAAAGACACTATAAGTGCCATAACTTGGTACGGAGATCACTTTGATGCCATAACTTTTTTTCGGATCACTTTGGTGTCAAGTCGGAGGAAAAACGATCACTTAAGTGTCATAAGTTTTTTTTTTAGATCACTTCAGTGCTAAAATTTTTTAAAAACGATCACTTAAGTGCTAAAATTTTTTAAAAACGATCATTTAAGTGCTAAAATTTTTGAAAAACGATCACTTAAGTGCCAATCTCCGGCGAGCCACGTCAGCTCCAGAAATTAATAAAAAAATTGCCACGTCGGATTTCCAGCGAAAAATTGTGTACGGCACCGGAGTTGGCACTTAAGTGATCGTTTTTCAAAAATTTTAACACTAAAGTGATCCAAAAAAAACTTATGGCACCAAAGTGAGCGCCGTACACAAGTTATGGCACTTGTAGTGTTCTTTTCCCGAAATTTGGAAGGGAAAGTAATGAGTATTTTCTAAGTTGAACTAAGACATTAGGGTTGAAAAAATTGGTAGCTATATCCATCAAAATGATTGTAAAAGCCTGCCCGATGCAAGAAAGAGCATAGTTGCCCAGATATTAGACAATTATACGGGCCCAGAATTATTGCTGACAAAAAGAACAAATCTCAGATTGCACCATCACCTTCAAAATCATTCTCTAGCTGAAACTAAGTGGTTTTGTTTTTTTTTTCAAACTCCCAATTTGCAAAATCCCACCTAATTAACAAAGGAAGAGAGGTTTCGACCAAAAAAAAAAAACCAAAGGAAGAGAGGTATTCTAAAGGCCAAGATCCTTAAATACATGAAAATATTTATTTTCCTTTTCAAGTATGCCTTGACGAGGACGATGGTGACCATGATGGTAAATTTGGGCAGGGTCGGGAGGTTCATAATACCATTAGATGGGAGTCCATATGGGAAGTTGGAGGCAGCATTGGACCCAGATGAACATGGGAGAGGCATGGACATGTGCAGCATCAACCCTGCCTTCTTGGGCAAAAAATACAGATTTGCCTATGCTTGTGGAGCCCAACGCCCTTGCAATTTCCCCAACACCCTCACCAAGGTTTTATATTCATGTCCCTCAAATTGATGCTTTTAGCATTATTATGATGTGGTGCCATGCTAGGGAGACATAGTTGTTGTATAAATTTACTGTGATATTCTTGATGAGAAATTGATGAAGTGAGAGGTTTTCGCAGATTGATCTAGTGGAGAAGAGGGCGAAGAATTGGCATGAGGATGGCGCCGTGCCCTCGGAACCATTCTTCGTGGGTAGGCCAGGGGCCACCGAGGAAGATGATGGTAAGAATTTAGGAAATCTAAATCGAAACATATGCTCATTATGCCTTATTTGCTGAAAAAACATTCAACGTGATCGTTTGCATCATATGACGGGTTATGATTATCTCACGCTCGAAATAACACATGTATATTTGAAGCACCCAAATCAGAAAAATTTGTTTCTTGAATAATTTCCTTTCTAGTCACTCGCATTTTTGTTGACTCTCCCATTTTGAAAATTTTTGGCATAAATTTTTTTTTCCCCTTGTTTTGTTTTCCCGATTCTCTTTTGTGAAGCATTGTGTGCTGGGGTTGCACTTGCAGGTGTGGTGATCTCAATGATTAGTGAGAAAAATGGAGATGGGTATGCATTGCTGCTTGATGGCTCCACTTTTGAGGAGATTGCCAAAGCAAAGTTCCCCTATGGCCTTCCTTATGGTCTCCATGGTTGCTGGGTCCCAAAGAAATAAAGATCTCCCATCAGGGTATTGTTTAATTAATTGATCAAAACACTTTGATCAACCTATTATTTCACTCGTTGTGTCTTGACTTAAGGTTGGTCATTTGAAGTCCACCCTCTGTGGGTACAACGTTGATGGATAAGTCTCGTAGACATAGTGAAGACCATGGATGAAGTGGTGGTCAGTGTTCTCTATGTCTTGTGTAGAATTCCTTAGTGGTGAGAGAAGTAGAATTCATTCTATGCATGTTAAGCTTGAGATATGTGAAATGGTTCTTGCTAGTGCTATGATGGTTATAATAGCTTCAGTGTTGCAAATCCTGTTTATACCAGATGTGAAATTGTATTTATATAGAAAAATGTACCTATAAACAAAAGAGAACTTATTTGTGGTTGTTCTTCCTATCGGGGCTAAACGAAAATTTGAATGATTTGGTGAAGCAGGGAAGTCTCCTTTTTTTAACAACTAGGCTGTCCTGCTAGCAAAGATTCTTCTCAAATTACTAACCTCCTGGACTATGTAACACGCAAGCCAAAACCAAATCGCGCGACCTAAACAAACCATACAAAATGTGGAAACCTCATCTGCAGTTTTTTAACATATTCTTTGGACACTTTTGACTCATGTTCTTGTCCTAAAAGATTCGATTCTCGTGAAAGAAGGGAATGTGACGGAACATTTAAAGATGACTTCCCAAGATCCTCCTCAACCCCTGGCCATGTAGCGCCAACTCCTAAAATGTTCTGTAGCAAATGTCACCTGCGAGATCTCCTCGCATAAACATGTAATAGCAGAAGAATTAAGAAAGACCCCGCTACATTTTTTGTCCCTTTTCTTTTGCCAACTATGTCGTAACTTAGCTGGTGTCCATGATTTAACTCACATCGGGGATCGAGCATGAGGCACGAAGCATCTTCGCTACGGCAGAAACGGATCAACTCCGAAAAGAAGCGTACATGATTACACTTGCATGACAGTTGTTGTTATTACTGTTGCTAATGGTCGATTGGATGCTTCCGTTAGAGCTTCTTCCCCTCTTCATCATGCTACTGTAGACCAGCAACGATGTTGCCCTGACTCGGAGAAGTTTGAGCACACCTTCAGGTGGGTCAGCTTACGCCGAGTTCCACTCATGGACTTTAGCCTCCGTCCATGAGAGCGAGGGTGAAATCGGCATGGGTGGCTTGACTACGATACGTGTACATGAGAAATAATAGTTCAACATCCGCAAAAGCCTCCATTTTAATGCTATGAATCTTGAGGAGGTGGCCAGAAAATGCAGCTTTCATTAAAGAAAAAATCGGACCTGGGTTCGATGTCAGTCCATGGATATTGCATTCGCATGCTGATGGCATTTAAGGCTTGCTCTTTTACATATTAACAATCCAATGGGCAAAGAGTTTGAATATAATGGGCCATAATCTCAATCTTGAAATAGGATTCCGTGGGATGTTGGAAAAGATTCACCAATTTGTAAAAGCCAAAATCACGGTTATTTGCAAAATTCGGATAAGGCTTGAAGGGAGCAACAAATTCGGTGGATTTATTTTAAGTGGATATCTGCAGCAAATCGAAAAGCAAGAGAGAGAAGAGATAGAGACAGAGATGGGATTTCTTTCGATTTCTTTCTTCTTCTTCTGTTTTTTTAACGATGGCTGGCACCGCGTGAGTGATGGCAAGCACCGATGAGAGCCCTCTAGCGAGGATGAGGCCGCCTTGGCCTGGGTGGGGGTGAGTGCCGGCGAGGGCTCCCCTCGCCAGATCTGGGGAGGGGGGCCTCACTAGCGCTTGTCCTCACCAGCCATTGCTTGCAGACGCGATGGCCAGCGACTAGCCATAAGTGAAAGGAAACAATTATAAGAAATTTTAAAAATTATACACGTTAGTATTGATTATGCCACGTAGGACCATTAGTGTCCACATCAGGATTTCCAGCCAAAATTAGCCAAATGGACTACATTGATAAATGATCAAAAGGTTTAGAACTTGATTAATCAAATTGAAAGGCTTAAAATGAATTGACACGAGTCTAATATGTTTAAGACTTTCTTCATAATTTCCCCGTAAAGTCTCTGCACAAAAAGATCACCATTTGTTCCCGTTCATGTGTGTGGCTAACAGAACTCCACCTTTTTCTTTTCCTTTTGTGTGACTACGGCTGAAGGGAGTCGGAACCTCCGACCAACCTCCTAACTCCACAAGTAAATATATGTATTTATTAAATAAAAAAAGGGTACACCCTCTACTCAAGTCAAATCTCACACACGGGCTCAAACTCGAAGCATAATATAAAAAAAAAAATTGACGGAGTAACTTATGAAAAAAATCTAGTCACATACTGAATTATACAAAGTATTTTTTTGGTCGATAAATACTTCTTTCATTACTAAAAAGTAAGTTTACCATAGCATGGTCCCATGTCATTACATAACAAAGAAAATAGAGAAATGGGGATAGTAGATAGCCAGTTCATAGGTAATGAATCGTTCCGGTGGGCTTTCGCTACCCAATCCGCAGCCCGGTTTTCTTCTCTCGAACAAGAAGTTACTGAGACACCCTCTAAGCAGCCCAAGAGGTTTGTGCAATCTTTGATTAATGTTTGGATGGCCCATGGAGCTTCGGCCCAACCCGTGATGTATCTCTCCAGCAAAGTACAGTCTGACTCAATTTTTCACTAGATTTCTTCGTTCTATCGCACGCTTCCTTCGTTCGATGCGTGGCGAAGCTTCCTCTCGACTTTTCATGAACAGCGCCCCGCCTCAAGGCTAGTGTTTCGGCGGCGAGGGCGGACGAAGCGACGATTTTCTTCGCGAAGCCTCCTACCAGTCGCCCAAGATGGTCTCTGCAGATTCCAGCCACCGCTCCTTGCCGCGATTCACTGCACCACGATCCATCGACGTTCAATTTCCACGAGCTCGATGGAGGTGGTGACCATCCCTCAATTGGTAAGCCTCTCTCTTCACTTTCCCTCTGTTTCCCCTCCTTTTGGTTCCAGTGTTCATATAGATTGAGGTCGCTAATTGCTTCAGTTATTACTCCCCGTGGTCGTGGTTTACTGTTCCGGAAAACCTTCGCGTTCCGTTCTTTCCAGATGAGCCAGAGCACTCCGGCCAGAATTCCACCCGATTTTGACCCTACTTGGGAAGGTAGGTTCTCTGCGAGCCATTTATCCATTCGAGTGACTGCTTCCGTTGATGTCTTCAGCTTAATGTTTGAATCTAACCATATTTCCCTTGTCCAGTCACACAGAAGGAGGAGATGTTCGAGCGTTTCAGGAGCGTTCTTACACATCGGACACAATGGATCGGGTACGAGTCTTCTTTTGTAAAGGTTTTCCTTCGTTGGGAGAGCGTTGTTGCATACACTCCATATGAAGAAGCGAATTTTCGGGTAGTGCTGAATCTGCCATATGCGAGTCCATAGGTTCTTAGGAGGCTGATATGATGTTGACGCCAGGTTGGCGTTAAATTTTTTTGACTGGGAGCACAATCTGTTATAGCCACTTTTGACCGAGTATAAGCCCGTGCTGTTACCTGTCCACACTTGACTGTCCCTATGTGAATCGATGCTTAGCGGGATGGCGAGGATCTCCTGGACTATCCTTTGCTCAAAAAGTTCATTTAGCTTCACTAGGTTCCAGTCTTGAGTCACTGGTTCAATTAGTTCCTCTACATATTTAGGGTCATGTTGATTCGCCGGGCCGCCGATGCGGCCACTAGGTAGCCAAAGGTCCTCCCTGATTCGGATACTTTTGCCATCTCCCACTCTCCATCTCACATCCGATTCAATTACCTCTCTCCCAGTTAATATGCTTTGCCACCCCCATGAAGGGCGGCTGCCCCTTCCAGCATGCCAGAATTCACCCTGTGGATAATATATTCCCTTCATAACTTGGCTCCATAGGTTTTGAGGTGCTTGTATTAGTTTCCACGCTTGTCTCCCTAGCATCGCCTTATTGAACTCCACTAAGTCCCTGAATCCTAGTCCTCCCTCATCTTTCCTTGTTTTTAGTGACTCCCATTTCCTCCATTGGATTCCTTTACGCTCAACATTTTGTTTCCACTTGAAACAAGCGATTCTTCTCTCAATTGATCTGCAAATTGAAATCGGAATTTTGAAAACAGACATCGCATACTGTGTAAGTGCTTGGACCACTGTCTTGATGAGGATCTCCTTTCCCGCTTTAGAAATCAGTTTCTCTTTCCAACCCTCCAGCTTCGAGTTGACACGCGCTAAGACCCAAGCAAACATCTGTTTCTTTGATTGTCCCCAGTCGGAAGGAATTCCCAAGTATTTACCTGTTTTGTCAATAATAGGGACCCGTAGCTCATCCGCCATCTTCTCCTTTAATAGCAGCGGACAGTTTGGTCCAAAGAAGATGCCCAATTTGTTTAGATTTATTGCCTGCCCCGAAGCATAGCAGTATTGGTTTAAAATATTGGACAGGCTTTGGCATTCTTTAATTGTGCCATCAAGGAAGAAGATTGCATCATCTGCGAAAGTAGTAGATGGGAGATCGTAGGGCACCATCTATTTAGTTTGATTCCTCGCAGGCTGCCATTTGAAATTGCCCTGTTCATAAGTGAAGATAATACATTAGCCATTATGATAAAGAGATATGGTGATAGTGGGTCTCCCTGTCTTATCCCTCGGGATGGCTGAAATTGTTGGAGTGGTTCTCCATTCATTTTCACGCTGAAAGTCACTGTAGAGATACATTGTTTTACCCGTTGTACCCATTCTTCGCAGAATCCCATTGTCCTCATGCAGTCACATAGGAAGTCCCATTCAACTCTATCGTAGGCCTTTTGCATATCAAGTTTGAGAACCGCCTGGACTTTCTTTTCTCTCTTTCGGATTCGGAGTTGGTGTAGCATCTCCTGGACGATCAGGATATTATCCTGTATTTGTCTGCCACCCACAAAAGCACTTTGTTCTATCGCAATAATCTCAGGGAGCCATGGTTTGAGACGATTGGCCATAACTTTTGCAATAATCTTGTAACTGAAGTTGCACAAGCTTATTGGCCTGAATTATGAAATATTCTCCGGGCTGGCTATTTTTGGAATTAATACAATTTGGGTCAAGTTAAGGGAGGGGTCGAAAGTGCCTGTAGTGAAGAAGCCGTCCACCATGTCGACTACATCTTGCTGGATTTCAGACCAGTATTGATGATAGAAATGCCCGTTTAGACCATCCGGACCAGGTGCCTTAGTTGCTCCCATTTGAAACACTGCTTCTTGCACTTCCTCTTTTGTCACCTTTTTCATTAAGGCCATGTTCATCTCATCATGGATAAGGTTGGGACATTGATCAAGCACCGGTTGGTAGTTTCTGGGCCCCACAGTTGTGTATAAGGAGCGGTAGAATTGCCCAATGTGCTGCTTTAAGACTTCAGGGTCACGGCACCACTGATTTTCTTCTATTTTCAGCATTGATATTCGGTTACGTATTCTTCTTTGTATCGTTGTGGCATGAAAATATTTGGTATTTTTGTCCCCCCACTTTAGCCAATTTATCTGGGATCTCATGCTCCAGTACATCTCTTCTTGCCTCCATAAACTCTCTATGCATTCTTTGAGTTGCTGCGATTCCTCCCTAAAGCCAGACCCGCTAGGGTTATTTGTTATCTCGGTTAGTCTCTTCATTAAGCACTCAACTTGCTTGCGAGCATTGGAAAATTTTCTTTTGCTCCAAGTCCCCAATGCACTAGCCACCTTCCTCGATTTCCCCCTTAGGTCTCCATGGGGGCAGGACCTATCATGCCAAGCCTTTCTAACCACCTTCTTACATTCCGGGTCTTCTACCCAAAAAGCCTCAAACCGAAACTCCTTTTTCCTCTTGTTGTTATTTGGGTGCATTGTTATAAGTAACGGACTATGATCAGAACCTATGGCTGGTAAAGCATAGGCCTCTGCACTTGGGAATTCTACTCGCCATTCTAGGTTGCAGACTGCCCTATCTAGTCGTTCTCTCACCAATGCATCCCCTTCTCTATTGTTTGACCATGTATATGCGCATCCCTTGCTTTCCATATCCATTAAAGAACAATCGTCCATCATTTCCCGAAAGGCCACCATTCTATGATTCTCAGCCCCTCGTCCACCAGCCTTTTCCCAGTAATAACAGACCTCATTAAAATCACCCATACAAATCCATGGAAGAGTGTTATTGCGATGAATAGCCCGTAACTTTTGCCATAATTGTAATCGTTCCTGGAACTCAGTAGATGCATGAAGAAATGATATTCTCATTCGGATTCCACAAGTGGGGTCCCTACATGTTATGTCAATCAATTCCTTCGAGTAGTCCTGTATTTCCACCGATATCTCCTCTTCCCACATAAGAGCCAAACCCCCTGCTGTGCCAATAGGATCAATAATAACTGCTTTGCTGAACTGGAGCTGCTGTTTCAACCTATCCACTACTGTTCTTTTATTCTTGGTTTCCATGAGGAACACCAAATTGGGCCTATCAAGAGCCATTAAGGCTCAGAGGTGCTGGAACGTCGGGGTAGAGCCCAGTCCCCGACAGGTCCAGCTCAATACTTTCATCTATCCCTCGGTGGCTTATTAGGGCTAGCCACCAAAGCCCATTCTTGGGTTCCCACATCAACCTGAATGGGGGCATCAAGGAGAAGTGTCTCATCTATAGCCTTCGCGTCAATCCTCTGTAGATTCAGCTGTTTCGCCTTCTTGATTTTCTTGGTTGCTGAGGGAATACGGCCTTTCCGACCATTCTTATATGAGGTGGATGTACCTCTGGAATAAGCTACCAACCCTGGTGATTCTAATAGTAGAGGCTGGGTAACTTTAGCACTTTTACCTTTTTCTGTTGTCAACTCCTCAATTATCCATTTTCCTTTTGCTTTGGAGAATTTTGACAGTTGACAATCCATAGGGTTTACCCTTTGCATACCATAGTCTTCAGTAGGGGTTGGGATCTCCCTGTTTACATCCAATATTGGTGTTTCTGGGGCTGTTTCCTCCTCCTCTAGTTTATCTACTTCCTCATTGTATAACTTCCAGAACGGGCTATTTTCCCGTGCTTCTGCTTTCAACCAATAGCCGAAATTCCCGCATCCGTCTTCCCCTGGTCTTGGTTCTTTATAGGGAATTTCCTCGCAGTTTGTGGCGAAATGACCTATCCTTCCGCAAGAATAGCAGTAGTAGGGAAGCCGTTCGTACTTAAAATCTACCCACACTTGATCACCATCATCAAAATTTACAATAGCTCCTGGCCATAAAGGACTGGCTAGTTCTAAAAGCACTCGCGCTCTACCCACCTTGCATGGGCTTTCCTCTTTGTTATCAATTCTCAACTCCACCACATTGCCTATCTTTCCTACCACCTCCATCATAGTTTTTTCCGTGATGCGAAGTATCGGTAGTCCATGCACTTGCACCCAGAATTCACAGTGGGTAAAGACATGTCGATGTATAGGTAACTTAGGTTGAAGTTTTTGTAGGATAAGCAAAGTTGCCGGAGAAGCACCATGGGCTAGCTTCGAGCACTTTTTCCAAATCCGCTTCTGTTTTGAATGTGAACGATAAGATACTCGATTGTAGTGGTTCGCACACCACATGTTCCGTTTTCCATGCCTTCTTCATTGTGGATAAGAGGGCCTGCAAGTTCACAGTAGGCCTCGAGTAGATTTTCCCCAGCAAAATCCGATTACAAGCTCTCCATTTCTCCTCAGGAATTTCTTCAAACACGTTAGCTACGAACTTTTCAGTCCACATTTGCCCCATTCTTTTGCACAGCATCGCCATCCTACGCTCCTTTTCTAACTCCTTTTCCATTCTTGTGTTAATATGCAGCTGTTTCGCACTCATTACCGCCCTTCAAGACACCAGCTCAGCCAAGAAGAAGACACACTAGCACAGCCAAAGGAGAGGCCCAAGATCCCTGCAACTGACCTGAATGGGTTGGTTCAGTAGATTTCACCAGCTTGCGGCATAATCCTGCTACCAAACACGTTGTTTTTACTGCGATCTGGACTTTACAGGATGAAGGGAGCTCTAGCTTTCCAAACGCAAGTTGAGTGGAGGAGAGGGCAGAATCCACAGGGTTTTACGTCATTTGTGGGTTACCTAAGAAGTAGGTTGAGTAAATGCTGTGTGTGAGACGGATTGCTACTGATCTATGAGGATTTTTGTTCTGTTTTCTAGAGGTTTTAGTTTTTGGGTGGGGGATGGGATCGTAGAGTTGGGGAAGAAGAAACATGGAGTTCTTCTCTTAGAGTTGGGTGTTTGTAGGAGTGGTATTAGGGTTTCTTGAGGTGAGAGTGGTATAGGAAGAGACCAGATTCGCGGGGTTTCTTCATTGGAAAGGAAAAGGTGAGTCTTTTAGGGTTTCTTGAGGATTGCTATCACCATGGATAGACGAAAACTCTTACCAGACAGAGAGATCAGAGCAAAGTATTTGGCACAGTTAAAATGACAAATTTCCATTAGTATGTATTCAGTCAAGTAGCTCGAAGAAGCACACATTCATTACAAAAATTGGAACAAGTCACATGGCACACATGCTTAATTAAGTTTTTTAAATTCGATTTGGACGTTGGAACAGTTTTGAGTATGAAACCATTAAAACATATTCACCTGTTCTACGTGTGTGCTTCGAAATCATAACGATGATGTGTCCTTTTTGGATTCATTTGCCATTAAAAACCGTAGAGGCTGAAATGACATTTTCACATGATAATGCATGTTCAATATATATTTTTGCGCAGCTGAATCTCTCCTCTCTTGACATATCGACATCAGCAATACTCGATGAAAAAGAACCTGCCCCTGCGCATTCATACGCTAATGAAGCTGTAAATTTCTGATTAGCAGGAAATTAAGTATTTTCTGTAACTAGGTGATTGTGACTAACTAATCAGGCCGCCTACACTGTTGCAATAGTGCAAAATATGTCATCTATGTTAGAGATAAATAAGATAATTCTTCAAGATATTTTTCTATATTAGAGATAATTAGAATATTTCTTTTGATTTTTTGTATCTCTCAAAATTGTGTGGATACTTTTTATTGTGCACGTCTTGATTTTTTTTTTTGGTCGAATGCATGTCTTGATTAATATATGTTAGTTTGGATAGTCAACTCATAAAACTTATAAACAAATTGATACAATCATCAGCATGATATACGAAAAGATATAGAAAGTTTCACAATTATTTGTTCCACATTCTTATTCTTAACTTGGTATCAAAGCTAGTCGATACCGAAGTGCATCGGTGTACCCCCAAGTGCAGATCTGAAGCTAATTTTGCTTCTTGTCTTTTTTTTTTTTCAATAAGTCGTAATATTCTCCAGTCAACGTTGATTTCAACATCATTCATCCCGTCTGATCGCCAATTTCGGATTGCAATGTTGTTGCATAGTCTGCAGAGCCTTGTCATCTGATGACGCACCATTGAGTTGT